GGGGGAGGACGAGGGGGCGGCGGGGAGGGAGAAACACTGGAATAAGTTGTGTCTTAAGTAGGGTTGCCAAATCTGGGTTGGGGAATTCCTGGAGATTTTTTTGGGGGGTGGAGCCTGGGGAGGGCGGGGTTTGTTTGTTTGTTTGTTTATTTATTTATTCGGGTATTTCTACCCCGCCCTACCCCGCGAACGGAAGGAGATGGACCCCGACAGAGACCACCCTCCAAAGTAGCCGTTTTCTCAAGGGGAACTAATCTCTGTCGTCTGGAGATCCTGTCAGCAAGCTGCCAAATGTTTCTTCTAGTCTCTTTAATCCTCTATACGCTGTTCCCCTCCCCTCCATCCATGCGCTCGGGTAGTCATGCGCACATCTCCCCTGTTGCTCTGCATTCCTTTCAGTATACGCCAGCCATGCTTTGATGTAACGTTATCTAGCCAAGGCCACAGGTGGAAGAGCAAGTGAGCTTTGCTTTGTCTGTAATTAGTAGAGACTGTGTGAATCGCATGATTATTTATAATTAAGTAGCAGTTGCTTTCCCAAGGTTCGGGCGCGCAAGAAACCATTTGGGCGCACGCGGGAACCATGTTTATTGGCTGTAATGATTAAGAACTTGCTTTAACCTTTCCAGCTCTCTGAGTAATTGTTATTCTGAACAGTGGCTCTGTTCAAGTGCTTCATGGCTTCAATAAAGTAAAACCTTCTTGCAAGTGTGTACTATGTTGTTTGCTGTGGGGACCTGACAGATCCGTGTTAATTCTGCGAGGATCCCCAGGCCCCACCTGGTGGCTGGCAGCCCTAGTAAAGTACATCGTATGTACACAGGGCTATTTTTGGGCAGGAACGCACAGGAACGGAGTTCCGGCTGGCTCCCAAGTTGGCCACGCCCAGCAGGAACTCATTAGCATAATAGGCCACACCCAACAGCAGAAACTCATTAGGATTGGCTACATTAGGGGTGTGTGGCCTAATATGCAAAGGAGTTCCTGCTACAAAAAAAGCCCTGGGTTTTGACAACAAACAAGGTAAACAGAATAACAAGCAAAAGGTGGGTGTGGCTGGATAACCACACTTCTGGTAACATGGGGGTGCGTCCTAATGTGTTAATGAGCTGTGCTGGCAGGGGTGTGGCCTAATATGCTAATTAGTTTCTGGTGTTGGGTGTGGCCTAATATGCTGATTAGTTCCTGCTGGGCTTTTTCTACAAAAAGAGCCCTGTCAAATGCTGAGAGTATTTTGGACATGTACAGGTGTCACTATTAATTCTATTCACCTAAGACTCCTCTGCAAATCTGGGATTTGGGATTTCTCCTGGGTCTGCAGAACTCTGTTATCATAGCTGTTGTCGGCCCCCTCGTGTAGATTTGCCTGTCTGCACGGAAGCCAGCTTTTGGCTGTCAGATCCATCGATAAAATTTACCTTTACAGAGCGGCCGTAGGATTTGGATGTAAACTGTGTTCTGATATCCTTTTTAACTCCAGAAGCAGACAGAAGCCGAGATGCAAAAAATCGTCCGGGATTGGAAAACACTATGTGGGTTCCTGGAAGAACAGAAGCAGCTTCTCTTGGGGTGGCTGGAAGGCTTGGCGGGAGACATTGTCAAGGAAATGGCGGCAACCTTGCCCACGGTCTCCAGGGAAACTCACTGGCCTGGCAGGAGAAGGCATTGCTTCCCTTCCCAGAGGTGAGAACTGTGTGGTCCCATGCTGAAGTTCTGGGAGCCGGTCTCCTTTTTCCTGGGCTCTTCTTAAGTCCTTTCTTTTTACACACACACTCTGTGCTCCCTTCGGTCAGCATCTAGGGGCCTCTTGCAGCAGCCTGGCCCCCAGAATGGCTCGGTTAGCTTTCACCAGGGGAAGGGCCTCAGCTGTGGCCCCTACCCCATGGAATGCGCTCTCAGAGAACACTCGTGCCCTGCCGGACTTGTTTGGTTTCCACAAGGCATGCAAAGTTGAATTAGTTACTGTAGATTTTCCAGGTTGTGTGGCTGTGGTCTTGGCATTGTAGAACCTGACGTTTCACCAGTAGCTGTGACTGCCTCCTCCATTAGAATGTTCATAGCTTGGGGGAACTCCTACAGACTCAGCCCTTCCCCAGCCAGTTTGGTGTAGTGGACTAAGTGCGCGGACTCTAATCTGGGAGAACCGGGTTTGATTCCCCACTCCTCCACTTGCACCTGGCTGGATGACCTTGGGCAAGCCGTAGTTCTGATAAGAGCTGTTCTTGAAAAAAGAGCAGTTTCTGTCAGAGCTCTCTCAGCCCCACCTACCACACAGGGTGTCTTTTGTGGGGAGGGGAAGGGAAAGGAGTTTGTAAGCCGCTCTGAGACACCTTTGGGTAGTGAAGGGCGGGGTATAAATCCAATCTCCTCCTCCTCCTCCTTCTGGAGTAGATATAAATTACCTGCCTACCATTTTCTTCTCACCTTGACACAGAGAGTACTCCATCTTTCTGTGTTATACCTCTGCGGATGCCAGTCACAGCTACTGGCGAAACGTCAGGTCCTACAATGCCAAGACCACGGCCACACGTCCCGGAAAATCTACAGCAGTTAATGAACTCCGTCCGTGAAAGCCTTCGACAACAAAGCTGAATTGTTTAGGTTGGTCTTTGGAGGATAACCACATGTTTGGGCTGTTTTAATAGTGGTATGGTGATAGCCGTGTAGTTTAATGCTTTAATGTTAATACTTAATATTTGTTATTTGTTTGTATGTTGGGAGGGGGCTGTGGCTCAGTGGTAGAGCACCTTCTTGGCAGGCAGAACGTCCCAAGTTCAATCTCTGGCATCTCCAGTTGAAAGGACCAGGCAGGAGGCGATATGGAAGACCTCTCTGCCTGAAACCCTGGAGAGCCACTGCCAGTCTGAGTAGACAATACGGTCATTGATGGACCAATTCAGTCTGGTTCAGTATAAGGCAGCTTCATGTGTGTTCATGTGTGTTGTTTTAACTTTATTGGTTTTAAGTTACTTAACACTTAAGTTACTAAGAGACTCCTTGGGTGAGCGGCAATGCACCCTCTAAGCTATGGCGTCCTGTGAGCAAAAACTGTACTTTATGAGCTGCTGGCATTAAAGTTGTGGGCTGTTCCCTCTAAGCAGTGGAGTCTTGTGAGCAAAAATTCTACTTTGTGAGCTCTTGGCATTAAAGTTGTGAGCAAGCAATTTGGCCACTGCATCAGTTAGCTTGCTCTGGAGCCATCCTTCCTGAGCTAAGACAAAAATATGTGAGCTGGAGACTAAAAAACTGTGAGCTAGCTCATACTAACTCAGCTTAGAGGGAACACTGGTGGGCAGGTGATTTGGCTGCTGCATAAATTAGTTTCCTCTGGAGCCCTCCTTCCTGAGCTGAGGCAAAAATCAGTGAGCCAGAGGCTCAAAAACTGTGAGCTAGCTCACACTTAACTCAGCTTAGAGGGAACACCGGTGAGCGGCAACTAAAAACAAATCTAATAAATAATTCTTTCCACCCAGTCGGCTGCTAGCCCCAAGAGCAGGAGAGAGGCTGAATCTCTGAAGAGGGATGATGGCTTTCTAGAACTGGAGTTGAAGCTTAGCTGTTTCTCTGAACGAAGGCCCATCTTGGAGGGGGTGCTGAGCCGTTTCAAAGGTGAGTTGGATTCCACTCAATTCCCTGACTTGGGAGGGAGCGCCCCTATGAACCTGCCCTTCAGCTAAGAGAGTGTAGTGGTTAAGTGGTTAAGAGCAGCGGACTCTAATCTGGAGAACCACTCTAATCTGGAGAACCCACTTCTCCATATGAAGCCTGCTGAGTGACCTTGGGCCAGTCCCAGTTCTCTCAGAACGCTCTCAGACCCACCTACCTCACAAGGTGCTTGTTGTAGGGAGAAGAATGAAAGGCAGTTGTAAGCTGCTTTGAGACTCCTTTGGGTAGAGAAAAGCGGAGTACAAAAACCAGCTCTTTTTTCTTCTAATCTGGAGGACTGGGTTTGATTTCCCACTCCGCATGAAGCCTGCTGGGTGACCTTGGGTCAGTCACAAGTTCTGTCAGAATTTCCACAGCCCCACCTCCCTCACAAGGTGCCTGTTGTGGGGAGAGGAAGGGAAGGGGACTGTAAGCTGCTTTGACACTCCGTTGGGTAGAGAAAAGCAGGGTATAAAAAACGACTTTTCTTCTAGATTCTGTTTCTTATGCTTTCCTCTAAATACCCTCAATCGTAGAGGCAAGGTGGATCAGCGCTGGGGTGGAGCCATCTGGGCTGCAGCATCTCCGTTGCAGAAATCCCTCCTCACAGAGATTTGCCTGGCACTAAACTTGTTGAAGGAGCTGCGGTGGCTCAAGTGGTTAAGATGCTGAACTGCAGGCTGTGGAAGGTTGGTAGTTCAGCAGGTTGAGACCCGAGTGTGCCGCATGACGGAGTGAGCTCCCGTCTCTAGTTCCAGCTCCTGCCAACCTAGCAGTTCGAAAGCAAGAAATTGCAAGTAGATAAATAGGGACCACTTCGGTGGGAAGGTTACAGCGTTCCCTGCGCCTTGGTGTTTAGTCATGCCGGCCACATGACCATGGAAACATCTTCGGACAGCGCTGGCTCTTCGGCTTTGAAACGGAGATGAGCACCGCAACCCTAGAGTTGGACTCGACTGGCTTTCGAGCAAGGGTATCTTTACCTTTACCTTTTAAACTTGTTGAGCTTTGGGCATCAGACCAAAATACTTTTTATTTTTTCCCCTCCCTTCTGATGATTTCTCTTTCTCCACAACACTGTGTTCCATATGGGGTTGCTGAGTTCCCCTTCTCCAGGTGGGGCCTGGAGATCTCCTGGAATTATAACTGATCTCCAGATGACAGAGATCAGCTCCTCTGGAGAAAATGGCTGCTTTGGAGGGTGGTCTCTATGAACTACAACCTGTTGATCTCCCTCCTCTCCCCAAACTCCACCCCAGGTTCTGCCCCCAAGATCTCCAGGAATTTCCCCACCTGGAGTTGGCAATCACAGTGTCCTACCAGATTTACGATTTTTGGCCGTCCTGAAGCAATAATAGTATTACTCTAAAGTGTTTAGGAGCTGCGGTGGCTGAAGTGGTTAAGACGCTGAACTGCAGGCTGTGGAAGGTCGGTAGTTCAGCAGTTCAAGACCCGAGTGTGCCACATGACGGAGTGAGCTCCTGTCTCTAGTTCCCGCTCCTGCCAGCCTTTCAACCTAGCAGTTTGAAAGCAAGAAATTGCAAGTAGATAAATAGGTACCACTTCGGTTGGAAGGTCACAGCGTTCCGTGCGCCTTGGTGTTTAGTCATGCCGGCCACATGACCATGGAAACGTCTTCGGACAGCGCTGGCTCTTCGGCTTTGAAACAGAGATGAGCACCGCAACCCAGGAGTCGGAATCGACTGGCTTTCGAGCAAGGGAACCTTTGCCTTTACCTAAAGTGTTTACAGTATTTTAAATTTAGGTGATTTGATGCTACTGTCTTGGCCCAAGTAGTGACTACATGGCAGAGGGGTTAATCAGCATTTTGAATTTCAACTTCTAAGAAATATATCTTTTGTATTGTCATTGATTACCGGAGTTGGATATAAATGACTCAGCACTGTCATTTAGGCAGATCATGAGGGCAGGAAAGGATGAGCCACTGATTGGCTCTCGGTGCCCTTTCTTACGTGCAGGGTAATGCCGATTGCCTCTTTGAGGCCAGGAAGGAATTTCGCGCCAGGCCAGGTTGGCCCAGGAATCCGGGAGGTTTTTTGCATTCGTATGGGCATAGCTCAGGGATCACTAGGGGACTGGGGGGCAGCAACTGTGGATTTCCTGCATTTTGCGAGGGGTTGGACTAGATGAACTTTGGGATCCCTTCCAGCTCTATGTTTCTACACACTATAAATAAATATCTCTAGTGGTGATACCTCCGACCCCAGGAGCTCCATCTGATCCAGTTTGTTCTTTGAGAGAGGTGTTTCAAGCCTTTGGTTGCTGTAGAACAGAGGCTTTTTCGTCACCAAAAGCCATGTGCCTTCCAAGTACAAAGTCCTGGATTCTCTCTCATTTCATGCTAACTTCTTTTATTCCAGAGTCACTGCAGCTGGAACTGGAGAACCTCACAGGTATGTCTTGGGCTCTTTAAGGGCCAAAGTGATCTGTTGTGATAGGGGAAGTATACTGTCCAGGTATGTGTGTGTGTTATGTGTCTACTTAAGCTATGTAAGGGGGCTGTGGCTCATCTGCTTGGCCTACAGAAGGTCCTAAATTCAATCGCCGGCATCTCCAGTTAAAAGGATCAGGTAGGAGGGGATGTGAAAGACCTCAGCCTGAGACCCTGGAGAGCCTGATACCCTAGAGAGAGCACTCCCTATGAGGAAAGGTTAAAGAGCTTAGAGCTCTTTAGCTTGGAGAAACGACGACTGACGGGTGACATGATCGAGGTTTATAAGATTATGCATGGGAAAGAGCAGGTAGAGAACGAGGTACTTTTCTCCCTTTCTCACAATACAAGGACTCGTGGGCACTCAATGAAATTGCTGAGCGGTCGGGTTGGAACGGATAAGAGGAAGTACTTCTTCACCCAAAGAGTGATTAACACTTGGAATTCACTGCCACAGGAAGTGGTGGCGGCTACAAGCATGGACGGCTTCAAAAGGGAATTAGATAAGCATATGGAGCAGAGGTCCACCAGTGGCTATTAGCCACAAGGTATAGATAGGGGCTCTGGGGCAAGTGATGCTCTGTCTTTTTGGTGCTTGGGGGGGGGGGGTCAACAGGGGGAGGGGTTCTAATTTCCTGGCTCCACTGGTGGACCTCCTGGTAGCACCTGGTATTTCTGGCCACAGAGTGTTGGACTGGATGGGCCTTTGACCTGATCCAACATTGGTGTCTCTTATGTTCTTATGTCTGAGTAGTATGAGGCAGGTTCATGTGTTCGTGTGTGTTCATTTGGTGATAGGCTTGCAAAACTCATCTTTGACCCTCTGTATTACTGTATCCCCCACGGATCCATAGATCTCCTTTTTGTTATGCAAGTTATGACATAATCCCTCCCTCCCGGTCCTATGATGTAACTCTATACATGTTAACAACAATTGGATTCATTTTGGGGGGAAAGCCAGGAATCTTGTTCAGAGCTTTCCAAAAAAGTAAAATTAACAATTCTCACAAGAAATATGCTTAAATGACAAAACTAGTAGATTAACCCACCCTGAGCCTGCTTGTGGGGGAGGGCTAGAAGCTGAAAATAATAATGTCCTCTCCTCCATCTTATCATCACAACAACCCTGTGCGATAGGTTAGCCATGGTCACCCAGCAGCTTTCATGGCAGAGGGAAGATCCGAACCTGGGTCTCCATTTCAAGTACCACAGGGCCTGATTCAGATTGGGACCCAGGGAGAAGGGGGCCCCAGCTTTTCTCCTGCACTCATGCTGCTCCAAAGCAGCACTGCGGACCTTTATCTGTCCCATTGGGGACTGCATGTACCCTGAAATGCTTGTATGTTGAGCTCCCCCACCTCCAGGGGGGAGAATTATTGGGATATAGCAGAGTTGCACAGCGGAAGCATGCTGGGCCCATAACCCTATTGGGTTATTTGGTTAATATATCAGAGTTTGGCCAGCCATAGAAGTGTGATACTGAGTGCAGTAAATAACTCTCCCAAGAAGTGTATTGCAAAAAAGGTAAACTTACATTTATTCAAGTAGAGCCAGTTCACATTCAGGTTGCAGTCAAAAGGAGAAAGAGAAGCCTAATCTAATGATATATAGATAGGGGCTCTGGGGCAAGTGATGCTCTGTCTTCTTGGTGCTTGGGGGGGGGTCAACAGTGGGAGGGCTTCTAATGTCCTGGCCCCACTGCTGGACCTCCTGATGGCACCTGGTATTTCTGGCCACTGTGTGACACAGAGTGTTGGACTGGATGGGCCTTTGGCCTGATCCAACATTGGCATCTCTTATGTTCTTATGTTCTTACTTTCCCAATCACAAATGGTCAGTTTGTCCAGCATCAGGTGTATGTGGGATTATGAGAGCATTGTATCTACAGGAGAGACCTGCAGAGACATGTGTCTCCATGGAAGGCCATGTGCAGTCAGTGAGAGGACAAAGGGACAGGAGGAGGGGTCAAAGGGCAGCTCTCAGGTTAAGCCAAAGAGAGGCATCCTATTCAAGAGATAACATCTGTACACTCTTAGAATGATGTAGCGGCCCCCAGTGTCCAGGCATGGAGAGTCTCTCACTCCAACAAAAATAAGATTCCTTTGTGCTGTGTTTTTTTATTTTGGTCAGGAAAAAGGTGTGGAAGGAATGTGGGAGTTCTTCCTCCCCATGTTCTGTGGTCCTAATCTAAACTGGATTCCTGCAGTGCTTTAGAACTGAGTTCCCATGAGAATTCACACTGGCTACATATCTGCAATCGGCAATCTCATGTGAAACACAATGTGTTCTTTGGTAGGATTACCAACTCTAGCTTGGAAAATCGATGGAAATTTGGGGTGGAGGCTTGGGAGGGCAGGATTTGGGAAGGGTTGGCATCTCAGTGGAGTATCATGCCATAAATTATACCTCCAAAGCAGCTGTTTCTTCCACAGGAAATGATCTCTGTTTGGAGAGCAGTTGGCAATCCAGGAGAACTTCAGGCCCCACCTGGAGGGTTGGGAACCCTACATTTGGGCTAGGATAGCCAAGCCCCCACCATGGGCAGGGAATCCCCCATCCCTGCCAGCGGCTGACCCTACCACCAATCAGCTGCCCAGTGGGAGGGGCTTACCGGCAGTGGGGAGAGGCCTAGACCAGCGTGACAATGATGTCACAGGTGACACAAACCAGAAATGATGCCATTGTGTTGCTGCCAAACAGGGACACTCTGGTATTTCAGTAAAAACTCTGTGGTAAAAACGGCTTCTACCATAGGGTTTTGGCTAAGTACCAGAGTGTCCCACATCCACGGCAATACAATGACTTTGCAGTGATATGGTGATGTTGCAGTGTGCAGGTGACATCACTGCGATGCCAGACTAGGCTTCCTCCTGCTGCCGGTAAGTCCCCCTTCAACCTCCACTGGCTGCCAGGAGAACCCGGCAACTCTAGTTGGTCCTAAAGTCTGTTGGTGTCAGTAGGCATAGAAAGATGTGGCTTCGCTTACGGTGGCGCTGAAAGTCTTCTGTTCAGTGTTCAGCTTGCTTGTGTATTCGCCTGTAACAGCCTGCTCTGAAACCAGATTCACGCTGGGGCTGAGGAATAGGGTTGCCGGGTACCTCTTGTCAAGTGACAGGGGATGGGGGGGGCAGAAAGGAGGTCCAGCCGATCTGTGACAGCATGCCTACGTCACCGCCCACATGACCCGGAAGTAATGTCATCATGTCGGGGACATCGGGGCGATGCTGCGATACTTGGGCAAAAAAAACTAGGGTAAATTTATCTTCTACCATAGAGTTTTTGCCCAAATACCAGAGCATTGCCCTGACGGCCCCGAAATGATGTCGGGCAGCGATGGACATGTGGGCAGTGACGTAGACACACTTCTGCACATCGGCTGGATCTCCCTCTCTTTTGGAGTAAGTTCCCCCCCACCGACCAGCTGATTAGTGGTGGAGCAGTGGGACCTGGCGGCGGGGGACCCCTGCCTCCACGGAGGGGTCTGGCAACCCTGTTGAAGAATGGGCTGTGATTTGCCATTAAAACCATGTATCTGACTTTACCCAGGGCTATTTTTGGGCAGGAACGCACAGGAACGGAGTTCCGGCTGGCTCCTGAGTTGGCTACGCCCAGCAGGAACTCATTAGCATAATAGACCACACCCAATAGCAGAAACTCATTAGGATTGGCTACATTAGGGGTGTGTGGCCGAACATGCAAAGGAGTTCCTGCAACAAAAAAAGCCCTGGGTTTTGACAACAAACAAGGTAAACAGAATAAGAAGCAAAAGGTGGGTGTGGCTGGATGACCACACTTCTGGTAACAAGGGGGTGCGGCCTAATGTGCAAATGAGCTGTGCTGTCAGGGTTGTGGCCTAATATGCTAATGAGTTTCTGCTGTTGGGTGTGGCCTATGATGCTAATGAGTTCCCGCTGGGCTTTTTCTACAAAAAGAGCCTTGTTAAAATCAAACCAGTTCGTTGCTTATCCCCTCTTAAAAGGCCTTTCATAAATGAAGGTGCTTTGCTACAGCTTTCTTCAATCTAAGAAAAACTATTCTTTTCAAGACGGTTTTTTCCACGACTCTTGTCATTGTCCGGTCACGGTCCATTTGTTTTGAGAAGCTGCAAATGATGTTCTTTCCGCTACTGGTGACATACCTGCAAATGTGCAGAAGAAAACAGGTCGGCTTGAACGAGGCTTCTTTTCCTTACAGTTTTTTTCAATTTCTTCCCATGTCAGACTCCAGAGCGGCTTCCCCGCTTTGTCAGAGAATGTCCAGCCCTAAACAGCTTCAGAAAGAAACGGAGGCGGCAGAACTGGTTCAGGTAAGGAAGGATGCTACTGGGCGAGGGACTGGCAGTTTGTGACTGGTGCCTCAACACCACATCTTTTTAAACAACAGCTGACTCAAGAGCCAGTCGCTTTTCCGTAGCATTGACTGACTGAGGCTGTTACATTTTCAGGGCCTGCTGACGTTTGAGGACGTGGCCGTGAATTTCTCAGAGGAGGAGTGGGCCCTCCTTGACCCCCCTCAGCGAGCTCTCTACAGGGATGTCATGCAGGAGAACTACAAGAATATGACCTCACTGGGTATGAACTCCTTCTTTTTGGCATTCAGTCATAAGAGCATACGAGCCCGGCTGAATCAGACCAGTGGTCCGTCTAGTTCAGCATTCTGTCTCACACAGTGGCCAACCAGTTCCTCTGAATGGCCAACAACAGGGCATAGAGGCCGAGGCCTTCCCCCTGAAGTTGCCTCCTTGCCCTGGGATCACGCCAGGCCTTCCTGTCTTCCGCCGTCCTCTGAAGTTTGCTCAATTTCATGTTCGTTGCATCTATGACACTGTCTAACACTTTCATTCAGAGGATTAGTGCCTCTGAATGGGGAGGTTCCCCTCAGTCACCATAGCTAGTAGCCATTGATAGACCTATTCTCCATGAACCTATCTAATCCTCTTTTCCAGCTGTTTATTCCAGTGGCCATCACTACATTCTCTGGCAGAGAATTCCACGTTTGAATCACTCTCTGTGTAAAGTAGTATTTCCTTTTGTCCATCCTGAACCTACTGCTCATCAGTGTGAAGAAAAGTTCGCTTTGTCAACTCTCTCCACCCTGAGCATAATTTTATAGACCTCCATCATGTTCCCCCCCCCCTTAGTCATCTCTTTTCTAAGCAGAAAAGTCCCAGACCCTTCAGCCTTTCCTCATAGGGAAGGTGCTCGAACCCCCTCATCATCTTGGTTGCCTTCCTCTGTACCTTTTCCAGCTCTGCAGTGTCCTTTTTGAGATATGTTGGCCAGAACTGTACATAGTATTGCAAATGAGGCCGCATCATAAGTCTATAAATCTGTACAGGGGCATTACAATATCAGCGGCTTTATTCTCAGTCCCTTTTCTAATAATCCCTAACATAGAGTTTGCCGCTTCTGGAGAAAGTACAAAATATTGGGTATCCTACGCTTTCTAGGTGTGAGTCAACCACGACTACTGAGTAGAGCTTAAATAATCTTTATTTAACTTCACACGCATTCAGAAGATCACAATCGACCAGATAGCTGGTTGGAAAGTTACATCTTGTGATCTAGGTCAGTTCTATAGACGCGGTGAGAATGAGATGGGCTTCCCCTCTCCTTGCCGTAAGGGTTGATGGACAAAGAAATGGAAAAGAACAATAAAACTCCTATCTTTGTGCCTCTGACCTCAGGAAATTGCTCTTAATGAGCCAGTCAGAGGGAAGCTTCTGGGACCCCGTGAACTACAATTCCCAGGTGCAACAAGTCTTAAAGATACAGCGCAGTTTTACTAAACTACAGATGACGCTGACTGGGGGCAGCACATTGGGATATCTGATTAATATAGCAGAATTTTGCTGAGTCCTGGAAGCATGATACTGTGGGTAGTGTATTGCAAAAGGTAAAAACGTACGTTTATTCAAGTAGATCCAGTTCACATTCAGGTTGCAGTCAGAAGAAGACAGAGAAGCCTAATCTAAACAACACTTTTCCTATCCTAAACATGCAGCTTGTCCAGCTTCATGTATGTGGGAATTTGAGGGCGTTGTCTCCACAGGAGAGACCTGCAGAGACGTGTGTCATTTTTATTTAGATTTCTATTCTGCCTCCCCACCATTTTGGTCAAGGTGGCTTACAAATAAAATCATCGTAAGTCATCAAAAGAAAAACAAAACAGTCCCGTTAACTCTGGAAGACATTCATGCGGAGGGAATTTGGTGCCTTTTTCACATGTGTGAACCGCTAAGTACCAGATTATGACGGGAACAAGATTGCAGGGGTATCTGTGTCTCTTTTTTTCCCACCCTACGGTGTGATTTGAGGCAGATTATTAACTGACACTTTGGTTGTTTGGGCTCTGCCTTTCACCTCAAACTCAGAAGCAGGCGGAGTTGGTTGCCCATAGACTGATGTAACAAAGATGGCAGCCATCAGTGACTCACCCCCGCTTCCTGTCTCATTTCCTTTTGACCAGTCCTGGCCATCACGAAGCCTGATGTGATCTCTCACCTGGAACAGGTGGGTGAGCCATGGACAGAGGACCTATACTGTTCCAGGCAAAACACAGGAAGTAAGTCATTAAAACATTGGTCTTGGTCAAGGGGTGGGGTGGGGAATAATTTAGGAAGTGGGGCCAGAACACTGATGGAGCAGAGGTCCATCAGCGGCTCTTGGCCACAAGGTATAGATGGGACACTACGTCTGGTGTAGTGATGCTCTGTATTCTTGATGCTTGGGAGGGGGTCACAGTGGGAGGGCTTCTGGACTTCTAGCCCCACTCGTGGATCTCAAGATGACATCTGGGTTTTCACCACTGTGTGACACAGAGTGTTGAACTGGATGGGCCATTGGCCTGATCCAGCATGGCTTCTCTTATTTCTTATGTTCAAGTCAAAATCCCAGGGTAGGGCATAGATTGTGCCCCCTCACATATAAATTCCAGTGCTTAACTGAATGAATCTGTCTTGGGTGTTGGTGCTGCGGTGGCTCAAGTGGTTAAGATGCTGAACTGCAGGCTGTGGAAGGTCAGTAGTTCAGCAGTTCGAGACCCGGGTGCCGCATGACGGAGTGAGCTCCCATCTCTAATTCCAGCTCCTACCAACCTAGCAGTTCGAAAGCAAGAAATTGCAAGTAGATAAATAGGGACCACTTCGGTGGGAAGGTAACAGTGTTCCGTGCGCCTCAGTGTTTAGTCATGCCAGCCACATGACCACGGAAACATCTTCGGACAGCGCTGACTCTTCAGCTTTGAATCGGAGATGAGCACCGCAACCCTAGATTCGACTGGCTTTCGAGCAAGGGAACCCCACTTAGAATTAAAAACCTTGATCATAGTTTCTAGAAAACTCAGCAAAACTTCAGTGGCTTTAACAGTGGGAACAGCATCAAAGCACTCCATCCCTGGCACAGAAATCCTGACACAATGGCAATTTCACTGCGGAAACCTATCTCTAGGTTGTGGTACATATAAATTTCCCCAGTTCGCAAACAGGGACTCCCTGGAGCAGTTTTAGGAGTTAAAAACTTCACAGGGAGGAAAGGCTTTAACTGCTTCTCCCCACATTCCCAGTCTTAATTAGGTCCTCACGCCTTGGATTTGCATTTCAGCACCAGACTCTCAGGGCTTGGCAGGATGTGGGGCGAACACAGGGGATGGTGTGTAGCCTTTGTGACTCCATCTTTGTTACAGGTTGGTGTTTGACCTTTAGTTGCCTTGAGTTCTGTGAGGGGATGGCTATCAGCTCACTCCCAAGAGACTATTCTTCTCTCTCAGCAGGCCCATAGCCAGGATTTTGCGGCTGGTGGGGCAAAAAAAAATTCTGGTGGGGCTGCTGTTATTTTTATTATAATAATAATAATAATAATAATAATAATAATAATAATGCTTTCAATTTATTAATTGTTTTCCCCAATGGGCTCAAAGCGATGTACAGTTACTCATTTTTGACAGGGGACTAACAATGTTCATAGGGGATAGGGAAGACAACATATATTCATTTTTAATTGCACACGCTGTCACTGCACAGTGTAAACGTCTTCTGGCTTGGCTCAGTCATTTTCCGAACGGCTGCTTGCCGACCAGGCTTCAGGACCCGTATGTTACATCGCCACACTGCCACCACCTGGCCGGAAACATCCACTGCAGGGATATTTGTAGCCGAGAAGTTCTTCCGCCTTTTTCCGACCTCGACCAAGACGTCCCAACCGTCAGCTAACACCCTCTCTAAGGAGTGGTTCCCATTTTATCTACTCGCCGAAGCTCTCGAATCGCTGGGTGGACTCAGCTCCAATCTGCCCCCAAGCCTGACTGCAAACAGCCACCCCTCTCCCTCCCCTCCCGCAAGATTTAAAGAGCCCTTCAGCAGCGGAGCAGGTGGCCCGCCAATCAGCTGGAGGGCTCTTTAAATCTTGCAGGAGGGGAGGGAGAGGGGTGTGCGCTATCCCCCACTTTTTCTGAAAACTATTTAAAGGATCCCTTTAAATGCTTTTGAGAAGAAGCGGGGGGCCGTGCATGTGGCCCCCCATTCTAAAAAATCTTCTCCAAAAAATCTCCTGGGGCTGGCCCTTTACGGAAGGAGGTGGAGCCCCCCAGTAGCCCCACTGTATCTACAGACCAGTCCCTCTGCAGGGCTCTTTTTGTAGCAGGAACTCATTTGCATATTAGGCCACACCCCCTAATGTAGCCAATCCTCCAAGAGCTTACAGAGCTCTTCTTACAGGAGCTATTGTAAGCTCTTGGAGGATTGGCTACATTAGGGGTGTGTTGCTTAATATGCAAATGAGTACCTGCTACAAAAAGAGCCCTGCGGATCTCTTATCTAGGAAGCCTGATGTGTTTTCTCTCACCACTAGACACCAGGTGCAAGTTGGCCTGGCTCATCCTAGCATTTGGGATAGCTTGATTAATGATTTTTTTTACTCGTAGCCAGCAACTATAGTATAAGATGCTTAGTTTTAGCTATGCATCTCGAGGTCTTCCTAAGTTTCACTGTGCGAGCGTGTGCGTTCGAGGCCCAGCAGATGGGAGCTTAGCCTACTGTTTCTCTAAGCTTGATCACTGCTTATTAAAATCTCCTTGTCAGCAAACCCTGCATATCATTTCCTTGGGGTTTCTGTGAACCTGGAGCTCCTGGCCAGAGCCCCAAACAGATGGACACAGAAAGAGTGAGTGGAACTTGGGGGAACTCAAACTCGACACTCAGAGAATCATCTTGTGGACTTTAGTTCTTTGTCTATGTGGGGGGTAATAATTCTGACCTACCTCACCGAGTTGTTGTAAAGGTGATGATAAGATGATGAATGTGAAGAGTTCTGAATGCTCCAAAGCAGTACATAAATGCTTGAGGATCATGTTGTATGTCCCAAATTTGCAGCTAGCGTAGGCACAAATGTTTACCTTTCTTAAACCCTCTCTTTACTAGTTTTGGTCACCACAAAGCCAGATATCTTTCCTTGTCTGGAACAAGGGGATGAACTGATGGCCGAGGATTTGTGTGCTTTGGAGGAAAGCGGCGGCAAGCCCAAAGGTGAGAGGGCCTTTGAAACCACAGACAGACTTTGCAAAAGCCAAGTGGGCTTTTCAAACCATGAATGACAACAGTTGAGTTTTACATATAAGGCCTTTGATCTAGAGGCACACTTCCTAGCCTGAGAAACTTCAGTGGAGGTTTGAACACCAGTCCCCCAAAACTGTCTCCCAGGCATTGGCCTTCCTCTGTTTTGGAATGAACTCGTCCAGTTCGATTCCTCTGGCTGAGGATTGGGCTTCTTGAGGAGATAACAGGTGTGCATCTCCTTTTGGGAGAGTTTAGAAAGCTTTTTTCCTGTTTCCTAGTTCAACTAACTAAGATGAAAGTCACTTGAAGCAAACAGAATTCATGGACTAGGGATGGGCACGAACCGCATAATGTGGTTAGGGTTCAGTTTGTGATTCGTGGTTTGGCCGGGAGGTTAATGGCAAACTGAACCAATTTGTGGTTTGCAGCCCTCCAGCAAACCCTGTTGAAAGGGACCACAGTTTCTTTAAATGGGGTTTGCAGAAAGCCACAAAAACAGGTGTTTTGGGGGCTCTCTTGTGCAGTCCCTTTTAAGTTTAAAAGGAATGCACAAGAAAGCCGGAAACAGCTGGAAGCAGAAAGCAGAGGTTTAAAGGGACTCAGAGAGACTCAGAGTCCATTTAAACCCCTGCTTTCTGCTCTGGCCATGAACCACCACAAACGGCTTTAGAAGTTCATGGAAGTTCACGACAGTAGGTCCATTACAAATTTCAGTTCGCAGACCATGAATGAGGCAAAATTTGTGATGAATTTTGCTTCTTGATTTGGATTGTGCTCATCCCTACGCTTGACGAGTATGCAAACTCAGCAAGAAAAGCTTAGTGATATAGTTACTGCTACACAAAGTTTTAGTGGGATTTGAGAGGTTTACTTATAGACTGTGTTTGCATATATGTGGTGGGGGGCTGTTTATGACTCTAATGGAACAAATGCCACCTTTAGCTGCAAAGGGCAAGGCAGGATATCTGGTTTAATAAACAAACAAAGTAGATGTGACTCAAACAGTTCTTTTTTATTCCAGAAGGTGTTGAGCGGCTAAGAGAGAGCAACAAGGCGAATCTACAGCTGGAGGCTTGTAAGCTTGTGGGCTCACCCTTGGCATTGTTGAGGAGAGCCGAGGAGACTACACCCCAATCCCACAAGAAGGAAGACGCTCCTGAAACTCGGCTAGGATCAGAGAAGTTGGAGGCAAGCCCTGTCATGGAAAGAACAGAAGAGCCCATAATTTTCATGGACAAGATCGTGGGTCCTGCGGGTCCAGGGCAGGAGCCCCAAGAGGTGTGCTCTGCATGTGGGAAAGCCTTTAATAACCGAGCCAGTCTGATGAGGCACCAGAGAATCCACACAGGAGAGAAACTGCACACCTGCATGGATTGTGGGAAAAGCTTCAATAAGCGCTCGAATCTCATTACCCACCAGAGAATCCACACGGGGGAGAAGCCCTACAGCTGCGTGGACTGCGGGAAAAGTTTCAGCTTGAGCTCCAGCCTCGTCAGGCACCAGCGAATCCACACGGGGGAGAAGCCGTACCAGTGCTCGGTCTGCGAGAGAAGCTTCAATCAGAAATCCTCCCTCTTTGTTCACGAGAGGACCCACCGGCGAGAGAAGCCGTACAAATGCTCGGCGTGCGAGAAGAGCTACAGCCACGTCACCAGCCTGATGGCGCATGAGAAGATCCACCGGGAAGAGAAACCATACAAGTGCGCCGAGTGTGGGAAAAGGTTCAGCTTCAGCTCGCAGCTCATCATGCACCAGAGGATCCACGCGGAGGAGAAGCCGTACAAGTGTTTGGTGTGCGCAAGGGGGTTCAGCCGCTCCTCCAGCCTCGTGGTGCACGAGAGGATCCACACGGGCGAGAAGCCGTACAAGTGTGCGGACTGTGAGAAAAGCTTCCCTTCCAACTCGAGCCTGGTGAGACACCAGCTGACCCATTCGGAAGAGAAACTGGGCGCGTGCTCGGACTGTGGGAAAAGCTTCACCGTCAGCTCAGGCTTTCAGAGAATATGGGCAGGGGGGAAGCTGACTCAGTGCACAGACTGTGAGAAACGGTACAACTTGGGCTCCGCTTGTATCTCCCGAGAGGCTCCGTGTGTGGAGGAGAGACATTCCAACAAAACGGCCGGGCGGCAGCTTTATACCATCAAAACTGTCGATCCCACAGCGATACAAATAGAGGGTACTTCCGTTCAGCAAAACTCTCAGCCCATTCATTATCAAATTAACTATATAAGATGGGAGTAAAACACCAGTGAGGAGGAAGTTCTCTTGCATGGGCCCCATTGAAGTGGATGGGAGCTCCGCTTGCGGGGAGGGTGGAATATAAGCCTAAATAAATAAAATAATGAAACACCATTGTTTTGATGGCGCCTGTGCAGAAGAAGGTCCCACTAGATCATTCTTCTTAGTCTTCCACTCTGGCCTTCTTAAGTGGTGTGATGGGGGGAGGGGGAACCCCACAAAAATTAGACTCGTCTTTGGCCCTGGTCCTTTCCAAACCTCTGAAGTTTCAGGAGACCGTTCAGGGCAAGGGAGAAAATAGAGAAAACAAATTTTTCCTCCGGAGATGTCAGGTATTGATTATTTTCCATTTTGGTGGAAGTAATAAATCTGGTCTTGTCCCAAGCAATCTTTCCTCCTCCTGCTGAGGGCAAAACTGCAGTGTTAAAACCAAGTGACATCTGGATAATTTGGGAGCACAAATCTTATGTGTAAGAAGTATGTACAACCAGGGCTATTTTGGGGCAGGAACGCACAGGAACGGAGTTCCGGCTGGCTCCCGAGTTGGCCACGCCCAGCAGGAACTCATTAGCATAATAGGCCACACCCAACAGCAGAAACTCATTAGGATTGGCTACAATAGGTGTGTGTGGCCTAACATGCAAAGGAGACCCTGCTGCAAAAAAACCCCCTGGGTTTTGACAACAAACAAGGTAAACAGAATAAGAAGCAAAATGTGGGTGTGGCTGGATGACTATACTTCTGGTAACATGGGGGTGCGGCCTAATGTGCTGTGCTGTCAGGGGTGTGGCCTAATAGGCTAATGAGTTCCTGCTGTTGGGTGTGGCCTATTATGCTAATGAGTTCCTGCTGGGCTTTTTCTACAAAAAGAGCCTTGTTACAACAGACACACCCTCCGCTTGCCACCTGCAAGCACAGATGTATACATTTTTGCTTGCACTGGAAATTCCTCCTAATGCTGATGGTTACCATATCTCCAAAAAGGACATTGCAGAGCTGGAAGAACTACAGAGGGAGGGCAGCCAAGAGGATGAAGGGGTTGGAACACCTTCCCCAGGAGGAAAGGCTGAACAGCCTGGGACTTTTCAGTTCAGAATACAGACGACTAAAGGAGGGACATGAGAGAGGTTTGTAAAATTAGGCACGGGGTGGCGAGAGTTGACCAAGATAAATTTTTCTCCCTCTCCCAAAACACAAGACCTTGAGGGCCTCCAATGACTCTGATGGGCAGTAGGTTCAAGATGGACAAAGGGAAATACCACTTGACTCAGAGAATGATTAAAATGTGGAATTCGCTGCCAGAGGATGTAGTGATGGCCAAAGGAATAAACCGCTTTAGAAGGGGATTAGAGAGATCCATGGAGGCTCAGTCTATCAATGGCTACTAGCCGTGGTGACGGAGGGGCCTCCCCCTGATGTTGCCTCCTGGCTATGGGATTCAGAGGATTAGTGCCTCTGAATGAGGAGGTTTTGCTCGGTCACTATGGCTAGTAGCCATTGACAGACTTATCCTCCATGGCCATCACTATATTCTCTGGCACTGAATGCCATATTTTAAATCAATCTCTGTGTAAAGTAGTATTTCCTTTTGTCTGTCCTGAACCTACTGCCTATCGGATTCATTGGATACCCTCAAGTTCTAGTATTTTGGGAGACGGAGAAGGAGTTCCCTTGGTGAACTCTCTCCACCCCCATGGATAATTTTATACACCTCCGTCATGTGCCCTGTTAGTTTTCTCTAAACTGAAAAGTCCCAGTCTTTTCAGACTTTCCTCATAGGGAATGTGGTCCAACCCCTTTATCATCTTGGTTGCCCTTCTCTGTACTTTTCCCAGCTCCGCAATTTCTTTTTTGAGAATAATAACGTAAAAGGTAAGGTAGGCTTAGAGTGTCGCCCAGTAAACTTCGATGGCTGATGTACCGTTCAAACTCGGGTCTCCCACTTCCTAATCTGAAACTCTAACCGTTTCACCCCACGGGATTTGTAAGTGTCTGTGTTCATATGACTACATGAAGTTGCCACCGACAGAGTCAGACTCTTGGTGTATTAGGGCCAGCACTGTTATAAATATACTCCACCTTTCCCACAGGGACTCGAGGCTGAAGTCTACTCCGACGGGCGGCAGCTCTCCAGGCAGAGGTCTTTCGCATCACCTGCAACCAAGTCCTCTTAAGTGGAAGTGCCAGGGACTGCACCTGGGACCTTCTGCATACCAAACAGATGCTCAGCCTCTGAGACACCCCCACTGTCCCATTACACCCTGTAAAATGTCTATGGGTTACATGAACATAAGACAAGCCATGTTTGATCAGGTCATTGGCCAAACAGGTGCTATCAGGAAGTCCACCAGTGGGTCCAGGACTCCAGAAGCCCTCCCAATTTTGCCTCCAAGCACCAAGAATACAGAGCATCACCTGCCCCAGACAGAGTGTTCCATTTATACCTTGTGTGGCTAATAGCCACTGATGGACCCAGGGCCGGATTTAGACTTGTTGAGGCCCTAAGCTATACAAAACCCAGAGGGCCCCCTACTGTTTTAAATTACATCAGCTGGTCTCAGAAAAATGTAAAATATATACGCCTTTTTAATATTTGAAATCATTTTTTATATTGTGTTTTTATTTGAGGCCCCAGCAGATTGCGAGGCCCTAAGCTGTAGTTTATTTAGCTTATGCATAAATCCGGCACTGGATGGACCTCTGCTCCAGATGTTTATCCAATCCCCTCTTGAAGCTGCCTGTGCTTGTTATGTTTATCAGCTCTGCGATGGCTGGTTTAAGATCCTTTTCTATCCAGGCTGGGCAGAAGAACGCAGGCATTTTGATGGGTCCTCTGGGGCAATGGAAGGAGCAGGAAGCTACAGCAGGGTACAAGGGGAAGAACCTCTCTAATGAGTCACTCAGGTTGGCAACATCTGGATGGGGGCTGGAGGTCTCCTGGAATTAGAACCAATCTCCAAGGTAACAGAGATCAGTTCTTATGGAGAAAATGGTTGCTTTGGAGGCTGGGCTCTGTAGCACTATACCTTGTGAAAGTCCCTCCCCGGGCTACACCCCCAAAGTCTCCAG